GCTGGCCATCATGTATAACCCTGCAACTTGTCCCTTCGGGCATGCTCCTGATGAAGTTCACCAACTTCTGTGGGATTCCGTGATGTCTCAGTATCTTCCACAGTGTTGCTCGGTCTATACTGTCAAAGGCCTTCTCATAGTCAAGAAAGTCGACGATCAACTGGGAGTTCCACTCCAGTGACTGTTCCACAATGATCCTCCGTTTTGAGCCGAGGATGACATTTTTTTTTCTTCCAAAAACCAGCCTGTTCATCCCGTAGCCTTGGATCCGTTGCAGACTTGATACTCTCCAGAATGATTCTGTTGAAGACCGTACTGGTATTGAGAGAAGAGTGATTTCTAGTTAGTTGCTGTAGTGGCTGAGATCCCCCTTTTTGGAAGTTTCAAAAGATACCCCTCTTTCTAATCCTTTGGGAACTAGCTCTCATTCCAGATCCTGGTAAACAACAGGAGGAGGTCTGCCGTCACATTGGCATCTACTTTTGGGGCCTGAGGTAGAATCTGATCAGGACCGGCCGCTTTACCCTTGTTCAGCTTCTTAATGGCATCCATAATCATTTGTTTCGATAGAGCATCACAGCAGATTGGTAACTCATTTCTCGACTGCAGGATGTTTGACGGGTTACTTGGTGGTGGTCTGTTCAGGAGACTGTTGAAATGCCCAACCTCTTTTCCAAAAATGGTTTTTCCCTCTCGGTCCTTCACTGTAACTTCTAGTTTCCCATATGTTCAAGAAAGAGTCTTTGTAGTCTTTTAAAGGATTCGCATTTTCCTTCCTGCTGCAGCCTCCTCTGCCCTCTCTGCCAGCCTGTTCATGAATTCCTCCTTGTCTTTTCTGAGTGATCTCTTTACATCTTTAGCTGTTGTCCTGTACTGCTCCAATGCGTCCGCTTTTGATCCCCTTGTTCTACTGGCATTTGTCGCTGCTTTCAATTGTCTTCTAGTGCTAATCCAATCCAATGGGCGTTGGCTAATCCATTCATTGTGCTCCAATTTCTTCTCACTGAGTATTTCTTGACATGTTGAAGTAAAGACTTCTTTGACCTTGGTCCAGTGCATCTCCACCTCCATGTCTTCCTCACCAAGATCCGCCAAGTGTTGAAATCTGTTCCTCAACTGCAATTTCTTGTGTCCATCTGAAAATCTTACTTGAAACTTTGTTCTTTTGGCTCCTGTTCTGGTTCCGTGCTTTTTAAGACGAAGCTTGAGTTTTACTAACAGCAGATGATGATTCAAATCCAACATCTGCCCCTCTCTGTACGGTGACATCTTCGAGTGAACGCATGAACCTGCATGAGATACAAACATGATCGATCTGGTTCTCCGTCACTCAATACGGTGATACCCAAGTAGCCTTGTGGATCCTTTTGTAGGAAAAAAACATCTTCCAATGACAAAACAGTTAAAAGCACATATATTTGCAAATCTTAAACAGCTTCCATGCATTTGTCCCAAGCCATGTTGTCCCATGATTCTCTCATAACCTACATTGTTTTGACCAATCTTGGCTTTGGCATCTCCCATTATGATGTTGACCTCCTTTCTTGATAGTTTGTCGATGATCCCCTGGAGCCGGCTGTAAATAGCATCCTTGCCTTCATCCGAAGCTTCGTTTGTTGGGGCGTAGATTTGAATTATGTTCATGTTAATTATCTTATTCTTTGTAGTGAATGGAGCCATGATGATCCCCTGTGGTTCCCATCTTCTAGTTGACTTCTGTACATACTTACTCAAAATAATTCCAACTCCCTCCTCATGGTGCTTGTCTTCCCACTCAAAATACAATATTAATTCCCCCGAACTGAGCTGCTTCTGTCCAGACTGTATTCAGTGGGTTTCGCTGACTCCTAGTATGTGCAGCCTGTATCTCTTCATCTCTTGTGTCACTTGAGAATTCTTTCCTGCTTCATACAAGGTGTGAACATTCCACGACGCAATCCGGAGAGATTTGTTCGACAGAGAAGGTCGGATTTGTCCGCTGTCCTTCATTGTTCCTGCTGATACAGAAGCTCCTCTGTCTCCCAAGATGGAAAAATAATAAGGTGTGTTCGTTCGTGTTTCTATAACTTTCCGTTTTTTTACTAGGTTGGGTAGTTGGCCCTCCGCAAACTGGATCTTTTCGTGCGACCAAACCTACGCACTTTAGTCGCCTCTTACGAAACGCACTATTACGGCATTTGTATTCTTTGCTCCCCCAAGGTAAAACTATGCCCCCCCCCCCCACCTGCAGGGGCGAGTGCTCATCATGGGCGCTTTAAAAGAAAGAAAAAACACCAGCCTCGCTGTAGAATCTAGACGAGTGCGAGTGCAACCTTTTCTTCCTTACTCTTCACTCCGTTGCACATCAGGCGCGGTTCGTCCATAGAGCAGGGTAATGTTCTGTAGCGTAAAGCACTCACAAACAGAACATTAGAGAAGCCAGCAACAAGCACTAGCCAAATCTTTTATCAATACAAGGTCCTCGCTGACGCCTGAACGGCCATTCCTGTGTCTATAGCGCCTTAAAACATCTAGCATGCCATTTACTATGTCCATGTACTTTAACTAAACATAGTTAAATATTCAGCAGCGGTAATCTGACCTATAAATCTAAATCGCTCCTCGGGTAAACCCAAACGATGACGACACTCGTACCGACCGAGTTTGGGGGTACATTAATATAGACGGAGAGTCAAAAAGTAATGCAAGTTGTTCGGTATTTTGCGCAATTTTGCATAACATTATATGAAATTCAGCTCACAAGTACTTACGCCTGTACTTTTAAACTCAAACTGTTAAAATTTAAGTTCCTTAGATTTTTGCCTGAATGACGTCACATCAAAATGGATGCCCCTTTGGAGGTCTGTCAGAGGAAAAGAGCTGTGATTGAATTTCTTGTTTTAGAAGGAGAACCCACCAGTAACATCCAAAAAAGACTTCAAAATGTTTACAAGGACCAAGCTCTAGATTTTGGCACAGTATATATATATATATATAGGTAGGCTACACGTTTGAGCAAAGAACCGGAAGAAGAGGAAGAGATGTCCATAGGCTTGTCCGAAAAGCATCGTCCCGAAGAATCAGCAACAAAAATCATTTTTTTACCAAGAAGAGCAACTGTCGATTCCGAAGCCTTCATTGAAACACTGTGACGACTGAAAGCGAGAATTCGACCAAATTTGAAGTTGGAAAGAGGTTGTTTTTTTTTCACTTTAACAATTCCCACCTGCATACGAGTACCAGAACAAGGGAGACAATCACCGTGCATGGATGAAAAACACTGCTACACCCAGCCTATTCTCCTGATTTGGCACCTTTAGATTTCCACATTTTTGGTCCTGGAAAAGAAAAATTGAGAGGCCAACACTACGGAAATGATGGAGAAATCAAGATTGCTGTACCCCTACGAGCAACCTGCCCAGTTTTACAAAGCTGGTCTATGTGGACTTAATAAGAGGTGGACAGTGGCTATTGAACAAAATGGAGACTATGTTGAGAAATTCAGATCTGATCCTCAGATACTCCCCTTCAATTGGAGGTATGATAGTTGCCACTGCGTGCTTTTTTTCTTTTAGTTATAAACGAACTTGCATTACTTTTTGACTCCCCCTCACACATGTATTAATAACTGGCGCACAGTAGGCAGTCTAAAATTAAACGCAATCTCAGACACCATTATCTGCCCATAATATGCCACGGAGCAACCCAGCATAATGCTCAAGTGCATTGCGATTGGTTCATTGTCTTGCCACTATTTATTAATTTATTGAGATCCTTGGTCTTGCCCCGACCCTGAGACTGTGAACTTGAGCGAGGTGAACGTGGCATAGTTAGGTCACCATCAGAAATCTTTTGAGTTGTGCATTTGGATGGTTTGTTTGTGGTAGAGTGGTGAAAGCGTTATTATTTAAGTGTTCAGATACTATGCTGGATGAAAGATATTTTCAGCTTGCAATATATTATAGATGAAGTTCTAGAAGTCAAAGCGACCAATAAAAAGAATGAGGGTTAAAGCATTAGGTCCTCAACCACCCGCACCATCTGGCTCTTTTCGTGCGACCAGACCTATGCACCTTTAGTTGCCTCTTACGAAACGCAGTATTACGGCAGGTGTATTCTTTGCTCTCCAATTGTAAAACTATGCCCCCCCCCCCAACCACCTGCTTCAACCTGAGTGTAGCTTAATAAAAACGCCCTCTTTTTAGCCCCACGAGCCGCCCCTGTTCCACATGAAGCCAAATGGTGCGCTCCAGATTGAACCGGAACTAGGTTAGAACGCACAGTCTTTGATATTGTGATAAATCTGCCCGCGCCGGTCATAATCAGTTATAAGACGCAATGTGCTATTTGGAGTTACGATGTTCGAAAGGCTGAAAAGTGACTTTCCATGAATTTTTTTTTTTTTTTTTTTTGGGGGGGGGGTATCTATTGAAAGTCTAACGTCTTCTGCTTTATTTAAGGTCAAAATAAACAACTCTGATCGACTATAAACATTTTTATTTGATTTATTTTGTGTGTGTGTGTATGTGTGTGTGTGTGTTTGTGTGTGTGTGTGGGGGGGGGGGGGGGGGTTGTTGTGAGCTGAAACATTTTCGAGCATTTGACCTGCTGGTGTGCAGCTGTGAGGTTATTTATAGAACCATTACCTCATGTCACATTGCCTCGACGTCCTTTATTCATCCCTATTTTTATATTTAGGCCACCTCTAAAAGCATGAATGGTCTGAAATATAAACAACTGAGCGTCCCAATGATTAGGAACGGCTGAGGGCTCTGATTTGTTAAAAGTGGTAAGAACGGTAACTCCTAACCCACTTCAAGCTTGTATATGTAAACAGCTGATTGAGTAAGCGTGCCCTGTTCGCTCAGTTATTGGCAGTTGATCTTTCAGTTTTACACTTCGATTAACTTGAAAAGTTCGTTCTTATTGTGTTTTAGTGGGGGGGTTAAAAAATTGATGTTCCTTTAAATTACCCAAGGTGGACTCCTTACCAAGAGGCCACCGCCACCGAGGCGGTCTATGTGCATGTGTGTGTGTGTGTGTGTGTGTGTGTGTGTTATATGTGAGTGTGTGTATGTGTGTGTGTGTGTGTGTGTGTGTATGTGTCTGTGTGTTTGCCTAAGTGTGTATTTGTGTGTATATGTGTGTGGATGTGTGTGTGAGTGTATGTGTGTGTGAGCCCGTGTATTTGTAGTGCTAATGCAAACTCGTAGGAAGCATAAACATGGCACATGAGCCGACTCGCAGACTTCCGAGCGCGATTTCGGTGAAATTGAGGTAATTCAGATCGCCTTTTCTTTCCTCTTTCGCTATAACACACCAAATGCTGTACACCTTGAAAAAGTTACGCTTTTTTCGTTACAATAGCGTAATTTGTCAGTTTTTACCAGTATTTGGAGCGAAAGAAACCCCTAGAAAAGCGAAGCCCCTCGGGGTAGTAATGCGAGGTCTGCCGGTTCAAAAATTGACATCCATGCATTCGAATGCTTTGAAGGAAGAATGATGATTAAATACGGTCTTTTCATTGGCAAACAACTTCTTTAGAGTTTTGAACCGGGCTTCCCGTGGTATATTTTTGCGTGTGAATAGAAAGCCTTTTAAAAGGCGTACATGTTTTCAAGGATCATTTTTAACATGAATTATGTAAAATACCGACTCATAAAAGATTTCAAAAGAAAGAACAGTTCTTTTTCTATTAGAATAAATGAAACGGCTTGGAATTATTTTGCATCAATCCTTCCAGGAAACTCCGAGGAGCAGTCAGTATACTACAGTAAGAGTGGTGACGGCAGGGACAATGCTCAATGAAGTTTTTTTTAAATCGAAATAACGACAGCTCATCGTGTTTGAGGCAGTAGAATACAGATTTGTATAATGATCAGTCTTGAAAAAATAAGAGGCTCCTTTTCTATGTTATAGTGATCGTACTCTATTAATGTGGAGATGTTTGGTACGCTCTGTACTTTTTTTTATTATTTGTCAAACATGTGGTTGCAACCAATTAGCGAATATAGCTATATTCGATTTGTATATTAAATTAGAACAGCTGACATTTTTTTAGAAATTGACTGAGAGGTAAAACTATGGTACCCAAATTCACCGGAGACAAAGGCCTTTCATACGAAGCAGATAAATTTGACATGCAACTACTTTGTAAATTTAGTTTCTGGTACCTAGTAGGTCCTACAGTGCTAACCCGGTGTTGCATTTGACATGAAGCCCATTCTCGTTAAAATTTTGTTTTGTCTATAAACTTTTTTTCTTGGAATGAATAGTTTTTTAAAACTTCTGTTTGTTGTCTTGTAGTGGCATAGCCAAGATAACTGCCACGTTTCAAGTCTATATCTCAATTCTAAGACCCCCGTTGCTGTGGGAATGTTTTGCTCAACCTCGGGAGCCCGTTTTCTCCATTTCGTGTTTCCCCACCTTGCGTACTTTAAAATTCCATATTTTCGTCAAATGTTGTCTTATTTACTTCATTGTTTTCCAAATTGTAGTGAAAGGGTGATAATTTTTTTTAAAATATGTTAACTAAATTTTGAAATTTCTTTAATGTGGCAGATTTTGACCGGGAGGGTCACAAATATAAATATAAATCTACGAGAAGTCGGCAGCTCCGCCCTTGGGTGACCTCTTTGGGTGGAGACAGAAAAGCGACCACACCAGTGTGTGTACAATTGATATAAAACGAGGGGGGAAACCGAGGGAGTTATCCCTTCGCGCGGGCGGTATCGGGTGTGTGCACTTAGTGGATGGTGTGAAACTTGCGGAGTGGGGTGTGACTTTTGTGCAAGTGAAACTTTCAAAGAGGTGTGCAACTTTTGTGCTCGTTAACTTGTTTCAAAACTTTCGGAGTGGCGGGAACACGTGTGGGAAAGATGGTAAAGTAAAGTGTGTGTCTGATAGGCTTAGAATTAAGTCTGTGTCTTATAGGCTTAAAGTTAAGTCTGTGGCTGATTCGCTCTAAGTTAAGTGCGTGTCTGATAGGCTTAACGTTAAGCAAACGTCTGATTGGCTTTAAAGCAGTGTTCACACATACAGGAGTAATGAAGCCGAGCAGATCGGGGCTACTCTGGATACATTTCGCCGAGTAATCAGCCTCTCTCTCAGAGTGATATTTCACGTTCGCCGTGTGAAATTATTGCACGGGAAGCTTGCCAAAATTTGCAAACATGCTTAAGATTCTCGCAGAGCGAAAAATGAGTACTTTTACTTTTTCATCGTCAGTTGCCGTTAAGTGTCAAAGGGAGATGCAGTCTTCTATGGTAGGCCAACTCTGCATTTCTTTCAGTTGTGATACTATATTTTCTCAGGGTTTCCTTGACTCTCTCGATCCACCTTTTGTGTGGCCTTCCTCTTCCTTTTTAGCCTGAGCGCTTGGTGTTGTAGGCTCTCGAGGCTGGCTGGTCAGGTGACATACATAACAATTAGCCAAACTATTTTATCCTCTGTCTTTCCTTGTGATGCAGGCAGGACTCAGTGCCGATAGCTGGTCTTACTTTTTCAAGCCTGTCTCGTCTTGTAATGTTAAAGGGATTTGCGGAGACTCTCTTCATTTCGCAGGCGGTGATTTTTGCCTTCATGGGTTTTACTTAATGTCCACGTCTGGCACTGGTAGTATTATGTTGGTGTGAAAATGAGTCGTCGAGTCAATATCTTGCCAGGGGAAAACTCGGGGAGTGTCTGAAATAGCTGGGCATGCAAAGTTGCATACGTTGTCGAGTGACAGTGACACGCCGACGAGATCTGAATGGTAGGCGAGTTAACTTTCATACTCAGCGGGTTAAATTATTGCTCCGTGTGTAAAAATCTTGCACGGGAATCTGACTCAAGCACGGCGTGCAATAGCTGATCAACTGTCCAAATGCATTTTCGACCAGCCTTCTTGCTCTGGAAATTCTGTAGTTGTAGATCCTCTGTTCTCTTGCCATGTTTCTCTCGGGTGTGGGCTTCATCAACCAGGTCCTCAGTGGAAAGCCTCATCTGCTACAATGAAGTATGACACATCTGTGTGATGATCAGGCAAAGGATGGGCAGAAGGCACTCCTATTATATTATTCTCCAAGGATTCTTTCAAATTACTTTCTCCAAAAAACCCACCATCAGATCCTGCTCTTGTGGCACCAGCGTTGGCATAGATGAATTTGTAATTGGCATCCACAAGTGCCAAGAGGACTATGAAGTAGAACCCTTTGTAGTTGAAGTAAAGGGATCTAGAGTTAGAAGGACATCTGATTGCCGCATGTTTCCCATCCAAAGCTCCCATGCAATGTGGTAGATTCCACTTGGTTTCAACTTCTTCTGCAAGGCCATCCACTAACCACTGGTTGTAGGCTTGTAGGTCGAGCAAGGACTTCATCACAGTATGCAGCAATGGTAGCTTGACAGACTTCGCGGATGAAATTAAAGCCATTCGGTAGAGATCTTGAACTATTTTCTGTTGCCAGGTATCAAAGAGTGACAACGTCCCGAAAATGTTTGCCTTGTGGATGGTGGGGCCAATTTTCTCCAGGATTCCTTGGAAAAACTCTGGAGAAACTCTGACGAAGTTCCTGAAGGGTGTCACATCTTCAACTTGCAGTTCAGCCATCAGCTTTTCAAACTTTCCATAGTGGGGTCTTCTTATGAGCCATGGTCTAACCCAACAGGTCCTCCTCCTCCTTCTCTTCCTCCTCTTCTCCTCTTCTTGCATCAGCACAACAGCAAGAGCACCATAATATTAAGTATACATGAAGTACGCATCCATCGTCTGTATCATGTGAGACATGTTGAAGGAATGAGCACAGACGTTTAGCCCACCTCTTCATATTACTATTATAACCTTGCACGCTGACTAACTCGGCGACGGATCGGCTGGCTGGTCAGCATGGTCGGCGAGTTTGTCGGCGTGTGAAGTTTTAATCGGCCGCTACGTTGTTGTTTTTTTTGCTCTGCAAGCGGCCAGGATTCAAACTAATTACTCTGCAAGACGCTCGGTGAGACGCCCAGCGAGATGGTCGCCGTCCTAAATTATTGCTCGGCAAGCGTCTCGCCGAGTGCTCACCGACACAATAATGTCAGCAGTCATGGCCAGATGCTCGTCACGATTAAACCCGACTTTCGCATTATCTTATCGGGAATTGCTCGTCGACTCTTCTCCTGTATGTGTGAACACCGCATAATGGGCTTATAGTTGAGTCTGTGCTTGATTGGCTTATAAGTAAGTGTGTGTCTGCTAGGCTTAAATTTAAGTCTGTGTCTGATAGATCTGGGATTAAAATGGGTCTGTGTCTGAAAGACTTTTAGTTAAATCTGTGTCTGATTGTCTCATTAGTCTTTGAGAGTACGATAGGCGTAGTATAAGAAAACTGTGTTTCCGGTAGGTTTAAAATAAAGTAATTAATTGTGTTGATAATATGCTTCTGTGAACTCCAACAAACAGTGAAAGGAAATCTTTTGCGAAGAGACAAAGAAACAGTCAGTAGTACTTTTTCCTTTCAGAGGCACATCATTATGTTTCAGTACTTATTTAGATAGTAATACGCTGGTTGGCGGGTGCTCTCATGTGGTTTTCTCCTTTTTGGAAAAAATCTTTGTCTCAATCTTAGTTTCGCTTTTTGTCATCTTCTTAGAGCTTTGAACGTCTTTCCGTTCCTTTTTCTCGGAGGGTGAGGCGTTCAATTTTTGTTTGGTTTTGATTAGTTTTATTTTACTTATTTTATATTTGTTTTTGTATCTGCTTTTGTAATAGTACCTTTCTGTGTTTTTGTTTTAAAAATGTTTAACGTAGAGATAACCAAAGCTCTGTATGACCTTACCGTGGTCAATTTCTATAAGTTACTATAACTGTCCTTTCTTGATGCTTAATGTAATACATCTCTATGAATGTTCAAAGGTAAACAATCAATAACCTTATTGAATGTTAATTATGTTAATTATGTGGGTACATTTCCCTTACGATTATTCAGAGGTCAAGCTTTCTCTTCCTGCCTCGCGAGTTCAGTGAGTGACACGTCTGTGTCCATGTCCAGTTGTCAAGTCTGTATTATCTGAATTCATCCATGCCAATAAACATGTTTAGTACACTTAGCAAGCCCACTCGTTTTAGAATAGCTTCTTTCCTAGGTCTACGAATCTTTCAAACTTCCATCTACCGCTTTCAAATTCGTGAGGATCCGAAATACGTTGTGTATATTATTTTATTATGTATTTGAATGAGCTCATTTCGTAACGATGTGTAAGCGTGCGCGTGTGATAAGCAAGTAGATGTGTGTGTG